CCCCAAAACCCCAAAACCCCAAAACCCCAAAACCCCTTCGTTGTGAAGATAAATTGAAGAACGTATAGGGCGTTTATCAGGTCTTTGCTATTGATATTTAAGACAAATTTTAGCAAATTTATAAATAATGTTTAAATACACTAAGGTTCTACTCATCGTTAATCCTTTTCATAAGGAAAGTCATCCTGTGTTCTTGCAGACTTTAATCACCTTGCAAAGCAAGGGGTTGAAGTGATTCTTAGAGAAACCTGTTCTTGCAAAGCTTTTAGACCCTGCTTCGTTTGGAAGCTATGAAGAGACAGAGCATATTGATATTGATGCGATTGAACCTCTTATCACTACTAGAGAAGAAGTGGAACTCGCAATTGCTTTTGGAGGGGACGGAACTATCCTTCATTTCTCTAAGCTTTATTACAACTCAGCTTTCCCTGCTCCTGACCTGCTTGCTTTCAACTTCGGATCACTTGGTTACCTATGCTCTTTCGAAGTTGAAGACGTTTCTTGCGTCCTTCGGTATATCTTTGGGTGGAAGTTTGATAAGATTAAGCAAGAAAAACTTGTGGAAGGACCTGAAGGAATCTGAATAACAAGGATGAAGAGACAGAGATTGGCAATAAACCTTCTTAAAGCAGAAGGAAGTATGTTCGAGCTCCAGTCATTTCACTTTGAAGGTGGGAAATCTCTCGAAGCATGAACTGCTGAGTTCAACGCTCTGAATGAAATCAACTTGACTTCCAGAACAGCTCTTGAGAATGTAAAATTAGAGGTTGCAATCAATGGTAAATATTTGACTACTTATGAAGGAACAGGACTAGTTTTCTCAACTCCTACAGGCTCTACAAGCTATAATTTGTCTCTTCATGGTTCTATCATCCACAATGATGTTGAATGAATTGGAATGATAGCTATCTGAAATACAGCATCAATCTCAATGAAGCCTCTGATCCTACCTGCTGATATTGAAATTACAGTAAAGAACGTCTCAGACGATCCTGAAGCTATCAGCCAAGGTATATGTGACGGAAGTCTTATATTCAAATTCAACCCTGGAGATACTGTCTGAATCTCAGGTTCAAAGTCATACATCCCTCAGCTGATGAAGACTAGACGAGATCCTACTAAAGACTGGATGTTACGACTCAAGGAAAAACTGAGCTTGTTTGAGTACTAATTCAATCTATCTCCCATTAATTGGGGTTTTGGGGTTTTGGGGTTTTGGGGTTTTGGGG